AGAGAGAGAGAGAGAGAGAGATACTCGTTGGTTTAGAGATAGAATATGAGATAAGAGTGTAATGCAAGTACATGGACAAAGATATGCAAAAAAGATGCTCTTAAATTAGAACAATAGTAATGTTATCTATACGTGACTTATAGGTAATAAATTCGTAATCACTAATATTTATATTAGAATAAATCAAGGTATTGCCATTCCCCATACCCTATCTGAACATTATATATTTTATACATTGAGCTGTCCTATTATTCACGGCAGATAGGAAAATTGGAGGGTAAGTGTAGTGAAGGCATTTTAAAAAATTAAGCTATCAAAGAGAAAGTACAGAATGTTAGAAAGGGAAGAGAGGTCATAATAAATATGCTAACAAGGACGGTAGGACTGTGCTGTCACTCCCTCTTTATTTGTAGACTACAGCTTGTCACTTTTTCCTACTTGAAACGGTTGGTGCTGTCACCTTTCGCACAGTAAACAATTTTAATTTATATGTAGTGGTTATAAAAAGTACTAATAAAGAGAAAAAATGGTCATTACCATGACATTATATTTGTATGCCAAATTTTTTTTGAAGTTTGTGATTTTAAATAAATCATAATATTTGCGTGTCAATAAAAACTTCACATTAAAGAAATATAGCAATATATTAATCTTTTTAAAACGGAAGGCGTAATTGAAATTGAAATGAAATTTTGTATTAGATTGTTAAGTTTTCTCTTCAGATTTTTTTTTTTTTTGCAATGTAGTAATTCTCCAAAACCCATTAATAATTGGCCATTATAATTAAAAAAAAAATTAAAAAGTAATAACGCGAGTCCTATAGTCGTCTTATTAAGGAGAGGAAAAATGATACTGTACAGTCGCTTTTAAAATAATAACCCAAAAATATATATTTTTTGTATATATATATATATATATATATATATATATATTCTGTATGTTATATACAAATTTTATATACTTTTCGACTATCGAATATAAATAGTGTTTGATACCGGCTAAAAGTGATAATACCCAATAAGGAGAAGCAGTAACAACCGGATGACTTGTGCGGATGAACCCTTTTATCCACCAAAATTTAATTTTTAAGCTACCTTATTGCTTTTATGTTTTCATTTTTTTAAAATTGTGATCTCTATGGAGTATTTCATCGAGAACTTACTACCTTTACTAGCACAGATTTCAGATAATTTCACATTTCAGAATTTATACAGATGAAAATAATTACCAATTCTTTTTTCATTTTTTTACGTATATATATGAATTTATTATAGTTGATTTCATTTGACCAAAAAAAAAATGTGTTATTCTTCTCTACCTAATATAGCCGGCTACCTATAATTTATAAATTAAATGCTAAGTTAGCCTTAGATAATTGATGATATAGGATTGTTGACTCATTTTCTAATTAATTCACTTCGAACATAGATTTTAAACTCTGCATAGCATTATTGCTAACCGATATCAGACAACTCGAATTCTAGGAAAAAATCGTCAACGGATGCAAATGGGACTTTTATAGTCGACTAATCAGAGGCGGACCTATCCTTTGGGTAGGGCATCGTCCTCCAGTAACTTTAGAATATATATATATATATAATTAGCACCCTAAGATTTAAATATTTAGGCAACTATATTAGTTGATTTAGCGGGCATAACTTAACGTTTAATGTGTTTCAAATTTTTATTGGACAGTGGTGCTTCTGTCACTTTTAAATACTGGATCCGACTCTACAACTGACGTCACCGCAAAGAAAGTGGACAAGAATCGCCACGAAAGACTTATTTTTTTTTTTATAACACCCCCTTTGAGTCGTTTTTCCTATGACGAATAGAGGATTCGTCACGTAAAGTCGCCACTGTGAACCTAGCCTTTTTTATGAGTTCTCAAGTTAGAATCTAATTAGAAAGCTAGAGGGGTGCATAATGAAACCTTTTTAAGTTGGGAGGTGCATAATTTGTTAAATACCGAATTACCATATTGAAATCAAAAATTTTGGTATTTGATATTCGATATGGTATTTGGTTTAAGTTTTAAAAATAATTGGTATTAGGTATGATATTTGGTATGTTAAAATGAAATACCGATATCGTACCGAAATATATAATATGTTATACAATACACATATTATTAGTTATAACATAAATATAAAAAATCTAAAATTTTACTTTCCTTTATTTTCTAAGTTCATCAATTAACTCTAAGTAGGTAACAAAACATTTTTAATGATCAAATTTATTCCTTTATGTACAAACTTCTCTCTCTGGGTTGATATTTGCTGGTTTTGGACAAAACTTTTGTCAACAAATATTTTTAATTTTGTACTTTTGAGTACTTTATTAAGAATATTACAGTTTATGACTCTATGCATTAGTTAGTATTCAAACCGAATAAATCGAAATTACTGAATCGAATAAACCGAAACCGAAAGAAGAAAAATTGAATCATACCGAATTTAATTAGGTACGGTATTAATATAATATTTTAAGAAATCAAATACCGAACCAAAATATCTAAATATAATACCGTACTGACCGACGAACCCCATTTTTTAGCGTGAAAATCAATGTTCTGTCTAAATATAGCCAAATAAGGCTGATAACAAGGACAAAAGTGGGACGGTGCTAATGATAAGACTTCTACTGCTACATTTCATTGTTTTATTTTATTAAACTAAAATAACGATTCAGTCGACAATGATGTCTTTTTTTGAACGGTAAATACTTAAAGTCAATGCAACTTTTATTTGCTAGTAGTATATTATAGTCCTTGAAAATGGGTGGTGTAGTTAGCAGTGCTTGCATTTGCCGTTGCAGTTTCCGTTGGGCAGGCCAAGGGGCATTCAAATTAATAATATTCTCTCCAAAATAATTGTCCATTTACATAATCAATAAAGAATTAATTTTTTTTTTTAAAATTTGTACTTATTTGTATATTCCAATGTGACGCGATAACAATTAATTAATGTTACTTTAGTAAATATATCTTTTTTTCTCTAGGAGTTCGTATTTCCTTAATGAGTGTGTCAAATATAAAATGATTACTTATTGTGGACCCGGGGAATACAATTTTTTGCACTCAATCTAACTAATTTAAGATTGTATTTGTTTGTACACCGACAATCAATTTTCGTTCTGAAATAAATGTATTTTAGTTAATGAATGTCATTTATTATATATGTATTGATTTGACGTAAAAGAGTGTGAATACAATTTTCTTCCGTTTTTAGGCTAATGTTTATCACATCAGAATGAAGGGGATAGGGTAGAATATTAATTCTACATTAATGATCAACTTTATCATCTTGCATATGCCAGATAAAGATTATTTTTCATTATTTTATGCCATTTCTGGTGCATCAAATACAAGTTAAAAGAAATCGAACTTATAAAATTACCATATCCTATCCTATTCGACAAGTACTAAGAAAACTTTATTCCCTTTGGTTTCAAGACCTAAACAATAAAGATCAAGCTGAAGGAGCTCATTTTGGTGGGTCAAGATTAATGTTAATGGTGGGTGAGAAATTTGAAAACAAGTCAATCAGATGTTTGAAAATGAAAGTTTATCTTTCTCAATCATTGAATAACTCCGACCATGTTGTGACAATCTTGTCAATCTAGGCCAATACTGTATGTTTTTCTGGCAAACATATTATACTTAATTAATAAAACATCTAGTTCTGCTGGTGGACCAAGCAATGTCAACCTTTTTTCCCCTAGTGTTTGGCTCTCATCACTGTGGCATATTCCCAGAATTTGCTAGAAACTATAGTTACTCCAAAAGGAAAATGTTTGGCGTTGTACATGTCAAACTAGTTTTTTGACTCTGTTACTATGGTTTTTCGACAAAATGAATTACAAGGGCAATGTTATGAGGTAGAATCTTCTCTAGAAAAAGCTATATTTGATTTAGAAGCATTGATTTAGGCTAAGATATGATTATGGACATTTTTTTAGCCAACTTTCTTTTGGTAGACATGATATCAGGTAGTCACTATTAAGGACTGCTATTTAATAATTAGTCAATACGTCTTAGATTTTAATTTTTCGGGACAAAAATATCCTGAAGTTAAGTTTTTTAGTTAAAATTTCATGCAAAATAAGTACTGACTAATTTTTATATAACATCCCTAAAAATGACTATATGGGCACTTGCCCCCTTCTTTGCACTAGGCCTTTTCCCAATCGTGTTGAGTGAGAACATGTTCCTCGCAAGCCTTATAGTCAAAAAATTACATGTTTTGACGATTTTATTGTCTCACAATTTTCGAGGAGTGAGAAAGACCTAATTGAACAACAGCGCCCGATAAGATCATTGGGCTTCAAACTCGTGCATTACAGTTTGAGTTGTAGCATTTGACTACGGAAATCAGGGACAAATCCAGCGTTATAATACTTGATTCATTTATTTTTTGCGCGAAACATAAATTTATATATAAAAATTATCAAAAACAAATAGTATATATGAATTTATAACTTTAACAATATAATAAATTCAATACTAAATTTTCTCAATTATCCCACCAAAGAGAACACATATCATATGGTGCATGGTTAATGTTTCATACTCTCGTTCCATCACTAAAGATTGTTGTAAGCTTCAATTGTCAGTTTGTATTCGGTCAATTATTGGAAACTTTTCTGTTAACAAGTACGAATATAGCCCCACATTCTTTCATACATCCCCAAAATGACCCAATCCATTATTCTCAAAAGCAATTGACAGAGCACACTCAACAGCTCAAATGTCCAAAATTGGGCTAGAAAAAGGGAGAAGCCAATATTTACAAAAGCCCGGTTTTGGTCTTTAAATTAAGACCATACAAGTGGCTTATTCTCTGCCATTTATTTAGAACTGAGATGGACCTGTGGGACCCAGAACAAAGTAAAATGATTGCCACATCAGCTCCAACAACGAGAGCCGTTGATTTGTGGTGGGACGGTTGAGATCCCTTGTCTTGAAAGCTCGTGGAGAACACTATCAGTAGAGGGAGGTTTTAGGCCCAAAGGAAGAGGCAACCACGGTTTGGTTATTGCCTCTTTCACTACTTTATCAATCACCTCTTCTGCCTGCACCACAACCAACGACCAAAATTTTATTTTACCAAAAGAAAAACTTACTCACAATCTTGAAAATGATTAATATTCATACATCGAAGCCTAAAATTTTTACACTTTTACACTATCAAGTTACTAGGTAACCTAAAATAGTTATAGAAAAAGAGTGTAAGGGTGGGCTCTTAACGAAGAAAAGAGAGCTAGCAAGCCGGTTACTGATAAAAATGGACCTTAGGCCTAACCGAGCCTCAAAAGCTAGCATGGTAAGGATTGTCCAAAACAACCAAGACCATACAAAGAGACTACAATCACTCCATGAACCAACGTGAGAGACACTAATTAGTTACAACTAATTAAACGTGCCGGTTAAATAATATGAAATTCTTTTCTATGTAATTTAGATCCATTTTGAAGATGATAGGGAAAGTTTTAACCCAATACCTCCTCATTACACACATTTGTAGTTTAAGCACACTATTATCAAATGCATTCTAAGGCCAAGCTAAAAATCAATTACGTAAGTGATTCTCCTTTATACTTCCAAAAGGGAAAATGAGACCAAAGTATGAAAATCTCCTAGTACAAGTATCCATAAAGAACTCCTTTGGTCGAAAATAGGATCTAAAATATATGAAGATATCCATAACAATCCCTGTTGAGACAAACTTACCGGGTGAAGATCAAATGACTTCTCTAGCATGCTATATCTGTTCTGCATTCCGTTAGGCTGGTAAACTTCACCATTCTGCATAATATAACTCATGTGCCATTAGGAACTTAATCCAAGAAGTGCAAACATAAAATAGCTCAAGAACATCAAAATAGCTCAAGAACATCACTGAACTGTACGAAAGAATCTAACGGAGGTGGTATTGCAAATGTTTTCACCTGAGGATATGGCGGATATGATCCAAATGATGGTGGCATGACAGGGGAGCCCCATGTATCAGCATGCAGCTGCATTATCACAAGACATGAGGTTTTTCAGCTTGGTATTCTTTGAACTCAAAATTGTGTGAAACAAGCAGATCGAATAAACCATAGTTTCAACTGAACCCAGTGTTTTTGACACGGAGCATAAATATATACTCTAAAAATCACTTAAATTTCAACAAATATTAAATTCTGAATCCATCTCAAACTACAATGAGTTCAACGATAACAACCTTAAAAGTTGAACTCATTATGTTTAAATCCTAGAGTTGTCTCGCGATATAGGCATGCCAAGCTAGAAGGAAGTAATTCAGCTGAGAACAAAAATGTTTACCCCCGGATGAGGCTTCCAGTGCCAAGAATCTGCAGGCTGCCATGCCGGATAGTAAGGTGAACCCCACACTTGTAAACCATTCGGATAACTTGCCGGTGGTACCCAAGCAGGATATAATTGACCAGCCGCGGGGATATGATTAGAATGATACGGTGGGACGGTCATGATAGGTCTATGAAGAGGATAATAGCTCCTTTGTACTGAATCTCTTGGTTGTGGATGAGGCCATCTCCTTTCGACTTCCTTTGGCAAAATTTGCCTCCGATGCATTCTGTATTTCTGCTTGGAAAGTAAAAGACACTATTATTTTTAAGCGAATGATATGTCCATATCCAACTATATTTAGCTCAAACGCTCAATTATATCCCCTCATAGGAAATGGAAAAATCATACCAATTTATCTAACTTGAGGTGCCAACAGACTTAAAATCGCCAAGATTATTCCCAGATGTTGATCATTTTCATTAAAACACATTTCAGCCAAATTGCTTCTGACTGTGCTAAACATAGAAAAAGGTTAGGTTCTGGTCCTTTATTTTTTTACTGCATTAGGAGGTCAGGTTTCAAATCTTCCCTTTCCACAGCAGGCAAAGGCTTGTTTAGCATACTTTTGTTTTTATTTGTAAATAACTCAAAAGAGAAGGTCAATTAAAATGTGAAAGAGCAGAACTCACAAACCTGGAGATGACTAGCTATGTTATGTCTCGTTAAACCCTCAACTTTCATCAGCTCTAGTATTCGAGAAGGAATGGCTTGATCAATACCAAGTTGCTCTACTGCTTGAACAAACTTCTTGTGTAGTTCAGGTGACCAATCTACCTGAATCAGAAAGAGATACCAAACTTATTCCCCTGAATCAACTGATTCAAACCCCCGCATATGCAGGATAATTTGACCACTGCTCAGTGAACTATATTAGAGGTTGAAATCCCCAAGACAAATCTAGCTAGAGTATATACTGATTGCTATGTTTCATGCACTGTTTGAGGAGTTAAAACTTCAAGATAACAAAATGAGCTCCGTATTCATCTTACAGGTGCTATAAGCAGAATGCTGAAAGCTACACTAGAATTGATAAATCATAGACAAAATTTAAAGAGGATGTTCTATGATATCCATGAATGCAAGAGGAGGAAGATATATGCCACGCCACATCTAATATATCAATATCTCATCCCTTTTTCCTTTAAAGAAGAGAAAATAACAAAAGACCACATGATTGATTAACTAGAGAAGCAATCATGAAGCTTGTTTTCAGGCCTTCAAACATAAGAGTTCATGCGGAACTTATGCAACTAGGAAAAAAATCAAACTTAGGTCAGAAAACAGCATTCTTGGACCATAATATTCAGAACTTTGAACACATAATTACCGTCATTACTTTTCTATGAGAAACATGCACCATTTCTTCCATCTTACCTTCATTTTCTTCTTATTGCTTCTAGTCCCACCTGAACTATGGCGACCAGATGCTTTAATAGGTTCAGCAGAATGACTGCTGCTATTGTCACAGCAGTCGTTACTTGGTGAAGAGGTAGCAATATCAGCCTCCATCTTTTGATGAGGAGATGAACCATTCTCCTCTTTCAAAATTGTTTGTCCTTGTTGCTCAGGTGGACTTGTTTGGACAGTAGCCTCAGCAACTGTATTGTTAAAAATAGTTTCGACGGATTTAGTGTCCCCATCATGCTCCCCACTACCTTGTTCAGTTGAGAAGATAGTATGATCTTGGCAATCACCATCATCAACTGACCTCACTCCTTGTTTCAATTGTGGGGTTGACGGAGCAGGGTATTTATCACAGCCTGATGAGTGTTCATTATTGTTCTCTGGTATGGAGGTAAAAGGTTCCGTTTCGTTTGAACTTTTGTCATCTGCTGCACTCTTTACTGGTTGTAGCTGTGGCATGGAGACGAGAGATTCTTTTATTGGTTTAAGCGATTCGGGCACATCTTTTTCTCCAGCATTGAATGCCTGCTGCAACCAATAAGATCAGGATGTCCTCTCCACATAAAAAGTGTAATAGTTTGAAAGAATCACAAGGTGACCCAGTAAAGTCTTCGCAACAAACCTTGCGAACTACATGTTGCCAGATATTTTTGAGTTTATCATCCAATAATGGTTTCTGAAGAAACTCGACTGCACCAAGCTGCAATACATCTACACAATCAACTTTTTTTACATAATTACTGAAAACAAAGTGCTTCATTTTTTTCTTAAAAAGTGCTTCAAATGAAAGCTTGAGCCCCAAATCTCACCGCTATACACTTCATCATTGTGCTAAGGGAATGGATATTTGATGTCACTGCAAGAAGTAAGCAAAATGGATTATTAGATATGTTTTAGCTTTTAGAATCTTTAGAGACAAGTACAGTTATCCTTTTTATGTTTCTACTAGAGAAGACTTCCCATTCTATACTGACCCCATAAATGCTCTAAACAATTAACAATGACAGACCAAAAGGAATAAATGAAAACTAAGATCTACCAAAAGAAGCATGGAATCATTCTCAGAAAAAACTTAGAATGCATAAATAGGTTATTTTCTTTGTGTTACAAGTCAAAATTTAAGATTATAGCACTTGCAACTCTACCAATACCATCATATCTGCAGAAACCAAGTCTAATTGCAATACAACACTCATTTTCGATAAGTATAACACTCACTTATTGTTGGCAGATCTTTGGCACTCTCAAGAAATCGGAGAACTCCATCACTATTGCCTGCAGTTACCTGTGTCAAATGATAGACAAATTCATCGACAATTAGTATAACATTCTGACCTATGTTCAATTTTTATTAATCAACTATTGTCAATCGAATATCAATAGGGATGCCTACTGTTTTAGTTGGTATATAATAGCCTAAATTCCCAATTATAGCATTTACATGTTAAAATGGAATTGTTATTTGAGAATAGTAAAGATCTGCTGCTTTACACCATATAAATATTACTTCAACGAGCTAGCTCAACTGTATTATTAGAACTTAAACGAGAGAAAGTTTCAAGAGAGGAGCAAAAATGAAACTATAGTACCTCCACAATGGCAACATGAAAGTACTCAGTTTTGGTTGAGATTGCAGACAAAGCTTCATTCTCATTGCAGAATGAGTAAACTGCAAAAAAAATGAAATTTCAGGAAGATTTACGAATAGATACAAATCCATGACCTCTTCAAAAGCAGAAGATATAGCAAAAGAAGCAGTGAAAAATAACACAAAAATTTTGGGACAAATAACAAGCTAAGGACTTGAGAGCAAAATATCATCCTAGCCATACAAAAAGTTGAAGCCTCAGCTATAACTCTCAATAGTTAAAGAAAGAAGAATGAAAAACATTATTAATAAAAATTTACACCAGTAATTCAGAGTATTCTGCAGTGAATTACTCAATGTTTGCTAATGTGAAGCAACTAACTGCCCCAAAGTTTGGAACAGCACAAAAATAGATTAGACTTGCAAGAACCATAGAAAGAAAGTTTAAATGCAGTATGCATCATTTCAGGAAAAGGTAAAATAAAAAGCATGAATCACTTAAATGCTCTTCATCTTAAAATAAAAAAGATGGAACAGAACACTCTATTTTCCCTCAGTAACAAATGCAAAGGTATTTCCATATAAAACCTAAAACTAGAAGGCACAATTAACATGGAAAACAGAATGCAAGTAATTGACCAAAAAATTATGTTACTAAAAAGGGATGAACAAGAAAGGGTAAACACCGGGTGCGAGTAAGTATTTTTCGAAGACTTTGCTACAACTAACCTATGTAATCCATTTTCTCAAGCCTTGATCTCATCACTGAAGCAGAATTGCAGTCTTCATCAATAAGTAGGACTTTAAGCCCCTTTGGAAAATCTTTCCAACCCAATAATTGATCATCCTCAGTACAAATCATTTCTAAAATGGCATCTTTTTCAGTCAACCAAATTAGAGCTTCCAAAACAATCTGCACACACCCCAAAATGAATTCTCCTCAGATTTAAAATCTCTTTAGTTAGCCATAAGTTTCAGCTAAATTGTTCAAAAGTGGTAAAATAAACAACAATATTTAGAAACCACTCTTAAACCTCTCAGCTAGTTTAATTCATAATGATAATATATAAGTCTCAGAAAAAAGAGAAAAAAATATACTATTAAAGATCAATAACCCCCCCTTCTCCTACCCACCTTTTCAAGATCTAATCTTTAACATCATTTAACCAAAAACCAAAGAGGCAATTAAAAAGACTATGCTTTTAGCTTTAGGCATAGGGTATAGCAAACATGAAGCAACAAAAATTTAGAAAACGCCACGTGAGAGATCTTCAATATATTAACATAAAAAGACAAAAGTAAATAAAAACCATGTGAATACAGAAACATCACAATTCCAAGAACACCATAGAGTTTTAAACTGACGAAGAAAAAGAAGAAAAACAAAAAAAGAAAGGAAAAACCTTAGACAAATGGATAAACGTGGAGAAAACGCACAAGCAAATTCTTTAACTTATTCTCCTTGATGCATGAACGTGTAAATAATTCTACCCATATAATGCATGTAAAAAAGCAAGCAAATTCAATTATACATAAGTAGTAAGTAGGTAGTATTATTATATACCCAATATCTCTTGGGAAATGAAGAAGACTAGCTCATTAGTTCTTTTTCTTTTTTTAAACTTCTTATTAGAGTCATTTCTTGATTGTATCTACCTGGGTAGAAATAAACAAGCGGGGCTGGGTGGG